TGAAATGATTAGACAGTGCGCACATTAGTCATTTTTTTTACAGTTTGACATTCTTAGTCCTGAGAATCAATGGTTGATATGGTGTTATACTGACCTTAATGTTGTTTTCCATATGTTTCACAATAATTATTACTTGATATTTTAGTGTGGTTTAGTGACGAGCCACCAAGATTTGACATGCAATGAGGCAACATAGCTATGAAGAAAGGCTAATCAAACTTAACCTAACTAGTCTAACTTTAGGAGGGACCTCATTCAACAATTTAAAATATTAAAAGGGATCAACAAAGTAAAATGGTGTGTACCAACAATTACAAGAGAGCAAAGAGCGGGTCGTAGAGGACAACTGAGCAAAGAATTAGTCCATAACAACGCACTGCAAAGCAATTTCTTTACTATCAGAATCGTGAACTGTTGGAACTCGCTATCTTAAAGATATAGAAAAATCTAAGCTCAAAAAACTGAAATTTAAAAAAGAAAATATATTTACATTTTGTTTTTTAAAAATTTATATTATGCGAAATGCTTTGTAAATTATTATATTGAATAATTAAATTATTACATAAATATATTAAATACATAAATTATGAAATTATTAAACACATAATTAAATATGTAATAAGAATGTACAATAAATACAAAATTATTATATAAATCAATTACTATGTAAATATATATTAAATACATAAAATGTTATTACTTTATTAAATATTACTTATTACTTTATTAAATAAAGTTAAAATTTAATTCTAATGTTTAAAATAAACACGTTTTTTTATTTAAATCATCAAAATATAATTTAGGTATTCACATTTATATAAATATGTATTTTTTTTATAAATCTTTTAAAACTTTTTCTAGGATTAATTTTATTAATGCTTTTAGTACAAAAACAAACTTTATGTAACAATTTAAATTTAATAGTGTATTTAAAAGTACTGGTTTCTATAAGCATTAAAATAGCTGACGTTAAAATTTTTATAAAACAAATTTAAAAGGGATTTTGAAAGCTAAAATAATTGCTTGAAATTTATAAAAACCATCGAAAAAAAAATAAATAATAATAAATTATAAATCACTATATAGTTTTATTATTAGTGTCTGTCCCTTTGCATTTGTTGGTTGGCAAAAAAAAAGCGTACATACTTTATAATATGTTTACTATTATATATAGCAATGTTCTTGTTAAACATTCAAAACTGAGTGCGCAACAACAACAGAATTTAGATAACCATCAAAATAGTATTATACACCATTTTTTGGCTTTATATACTTTTTGGCTAATCCTTTATTTAAACTTAAAAATAAGAAATCATCCATAAATTATGCAATGCTAAATTTCACAATTGAAGAAAAAATAAATGATCAAAATTTTTTCTCACAGAGTAGTATAAATAAAAAATCTATATAGCTCATTAAGTTTAATGAAAATCGCCATCCTAAAGAACTGAACATCTCTTCTATTTATTTTAAAATAAATTTAGCGTTGCGTATTGGGCGATTCCTTCGCGTTTTATAGTCTATAGTTTATAATGCTCTAAGATCTTCTTAGTTCTGCAATTCTATTATAAAATAATATTGCTATTATAAAATAATAATAAACTGCAATACTGTTATAAATTTTTTGCTATAAATATTGCTATAAATGCAGCAAGAATAAAAATTTTTTAAGCACGCTTGTGCCAACCTGAAAGGATTTCAGGATTTTAATTGGTTTGTAAGATTGCTCATAGAAAGATTATCATTTAGAAATACAAATTTAGATTATGTGATGTAGGCAAAGATTTTTATTATTAAAATGGCAAATAGTTTAAATAAAATGAGTAGACAGTCTACATCCAGTTGTTTTAACCTCTACGGGAAATAAGTATTTAATTCTCCTACAGTAGTAGGAGTGGTGTTTTTCTGTATTTTTTTGTAGTATAGTCTGATCTTGTAACTAAATGTAAATTGATGGAGGGAAAACAAAAGTTAAAATAGTTGTTTTTTCTTATATATAAACATTGTTTCCGCACAATGGCGATTGTCTTATTGACCTATTTTCATAGTTTAGTCATCATCAGAATTTTCTGTCCCATCATGATCAGAAATATTGCTAAAGTTAATGTTAGAGATCAAATTTTCTTGATCAGAAGATTCACTGTCAGAAGAAACTATGGTTTGTAAAGCAGTCATATGTAGGATGTCTGTGATACCTAACTGGTGTTGCACTTTTTGATCTTAAATAGTATTAAAAAAACTGTTAACATGTAAATAAACGGTTTTAACTAATAAAATAAATTAAAATTAGATTTAAAAACTTAATAAAATAATAATTGAGCTTAAATTTCGATTTAAAAACTGTGGGAACAACAGGCATTAAAAAAATAATATTTTTTAACTTTTAAATGAACCATGCTTTGCTTGATTAAATTTAAGAAAAAATAAAAAAATGAATTGAAAAAAATGAATGAACTTTTGTTTTAATAAAACATGTCAAAAGGAACTAATTACAATAAATAAATTATTAACTAATATTTAACGAATATTATATATTTTTTAGATGTGTTTTAATTTGTATGCCGACACTTAAGGACATTCAGGTCAGCCCTTGTATGCCATCATAAAGCAAAAATAGGTCAACTTTTGTGTCGGCAATGCTGAATGCCGACCTGAATTTTGCAGACTGTATATGAATATATATATATACATATATATATATATATACATGTATATATATATATATATATATATATATATATATATATATATATATATATATATATATATATATATAACCCCTGGAATTAGGAAAAGTGAGGTAATACAAATACTTTAACGTTGGCAGTTAGGTCGGCTTTGCCGAATGCCGACCCTAATTCCAAGGGTTATATATATATATATATATATATATATATATATATATATATATATATATATATATATATATATATATATATATATATATATATATATATATATATATATATATATATATATATATATATATATCAGGCCTTGTTAAGAATCGTTACGCAGCTTGCATTTTACCTGTGAAAAGGTGATTTGCCTACGCCTTCAGCAGTTTTGCGTTACGCAAAAACTTAAATCTTTTAGAATATCTAAATTTTGATATCATTTGACATCTTTTATGTGACGTTTATTCAGAAGAAAATAAAGTCGTAAGTAAAAGCATTTAACCGCAATTAGATTTTTTGTTAAAGAAAAATTTCTTTAATTATTTTTATTGTTGTTGTTGTTAAAAATTAGTTTAAAAAAAATAAGTGTTTTAAGTTTAAACTTTTTATCATATTTAATATTAAGTTTTATATTTCATAAGTTTAAAAACATTCAAGTTATAAAAAAAAAAAAATACTTTTAATTTATTATATTAAATTTAAATATTTTTTTATTAATCATAGTTTTTAGTAAATAAATTTATTAAATTTAATTAAAATTCTTTTATTTAATTTTAAGACAGAGCATTTTAAAATTTTTTAATTTTAAAATGCTCTGTTTTACAATTTTTTTTTTTATGATAAAATTTCCAAAGTAAAAAAAGATTTAATAAATTTAATTTAAGTTTCTTTAAAATGTTCATATTACATATAATTTTATTTTATATTTTATATATAGTTTCAGGTAAGTTTCAGTTCCAAATACTGGTCTGAATAATTGCGCATTATTTTCCAGTTTTTCTTTTTCCATTATTTTACAGTTTCATACATTATTTACAGAAGCGCATTATTCATTTTATAACTACAAGTTAAAAAATAACTGTACATAAAAATAAAATATTTTAATGGAAATAAAAAAAAAACTAAGCCGAAAAGCAGTAAATTTCGTTTCTTTACAATATTTATTTTATCAAAGCAAACATTTTTTTAAAAAGGGGAAAACCCAATCTATGCGTTTAGTTGTAAGTACATTTAAAGTGTTAAATTTAAATTATTTTAAAAAAAATATTAAAAAAAAAACAACCATAAATCGAATGTTTGAAAGCAAAAAAAATAATGTTTAAATAAGTATAAGATTTTAATACAAAAAGACTTTTTTAATCAACATTAAAACTTTAGTTTTTTTATAACAATATTGTTCAATTTAAAGCTATTTCGTTTTAAAGCTATTTTATTTCTAAGACTAACAATAAAAATAAATGACAATAAAAACCATTGTTTTTATTTTATAAATAAATGACAATAAAAACCATTGTTTTTATTGTCATTTTAAATTTAATTACAATAAAGTAAAAACGTAACTGATGTAATTTAACTTTTAACAATGTAAATATCTTTATTCGGTAAAGTTACATTTATTCACGTTTCGCTTTTCCGTTACGCAGCGAAATCTCGTAACAAGGCCTGATATATATATATATATATATATATATATTATATATATATATATATATATATATACATATATATATATATATATATATATATATATATATATATATATATATATATATATATATATATATACATATATATATATATATATATATATATATATATATATATATATATATATATATATATATATATATATATATATATATACACATACATGCATACACAAACACATTCCAAGACAGGAGTAATTTATTGCTTTCGCAAAAGTATAACTCTTTTCACGAAAGTATAATTATCGTTATAACTAAAATAAATAAAAAAAAACACAATGTCATTTAAAAAAAAAATTATTTGCACAATATACTGCAATGCTTTTTAAAAAGCATGGTGATTGCAAAAAAAAAAAAATTAAAGTTAAAAAAGAGCACTGGTTTAAATGAGGAGCAGTTCGCACAACTCCCCAAGTTTTTTTTTAGGAGAGTTTTTCTCTGCTCTCATGCTCATTTATTCTCGGCGAGGCCTGTATATATATAAATGAATTTTATTAAGTATCTTAACGATGAAAGACATATGAAACTAAAGATGACTTAGAAAACCTTCATATAAGTAAGTCCAGTACTTTTTGGACTTATATTCTGTAGCATAAAAGTTTAAGTAACAACTTACCATATAGCCGATGCATAAGATCAATTATTAGTTTGCGTGACACACACATTTCAATTATTGGTAGGTCGGACTGATTGAGCAATAATGGCAAACGCTGCCTAGAAACCATTGATGATGGGCCAGTAACCTCAACAAGTATATCATTCCACATAGGAAGTAGGGCAGCACAACCAGATATACATACAGCTATAATTTGGATTCTTCTATGTAATTCATCTCTTGTTTAAATAAAATCATAATTCAAAATTATGATAGCACAAAATTACTGAATTTACTTTTTATAGGATCTTTTAAAGTCAATTTAACAAGTTGTGTCTATTTCATAAAAATTTTAATTAGAATTGAAATCAAAAAAAAATTATTTATCAAAATATTTAAGCAAAAAAAAGATTCAGTAAACTATTACTTTTTCTCTCTGCAAAATCCACTTCTTGTTAATGCAGCTTGTGGGTTTTTTTTTTAAAATAATATAAGGTATGAACAATGAGTTTTTGAATAGGCAGATTTTCTAATAAACTTATTAAAAAAAAAGTAAAAAGGTTTAAAATTTAACTTTAAAATAGTAATGCTAATTTTATTTTTTTAAACAACAATAAATTAATTATTTATTAAGAACAAAACTAGAATTAAGTTGAAAACAAAAATGTCACCTTATTACAACTAAAACAATAACTTATATAAAAAACATGACTAATTAAAAAAAAAAAAAAAAACTTGACTTTAACTTTAAAAACCAATTAAATTTACATATCTAACATAAATAATTGAGATTGATTTTATTAAGAATTTGCTTAATTGATCCTGGTAGAAGTGACTAATTAGTTTATCAAATCTATAAACTATTGTCATAATGTGATGAGTGAATTAAAATTAAAAAGAACCTTAAAATCAAGGCTCAACAATTGATTAATTAATAATAAGTGAAGTTTGGTAAGTTATAAAAAACGGTAAAAAAATTCATGCAAATTAAGAAAAATTAAAGTAACTGTGAAGCTTTAAAAAAAGTATAAAAGTAAAAAGAAAAAACATTTACAAATGTTTTTATATTAAATAAATATATGAAAATAATAAACATGAATGTAAATTAAGTAAAATAATTGGGAAACCCAAGCACAAAATTCATAAAATTAAAAAAGATAACTTAATTGAATTTTATTGAATTTTTTCACAAAACAAAAACTTTTTTATGTTTAACTATGAAGAAAAAAATAATTAAATAGTTTTTGCCTATTTCTTGATAAATAATTATTTTAAAATTTTAAACTTATTTTCTTAATGAAATTAAAACAACTTGTCACTTGAAGCAAATTATCTTCAAATAAATAAATTTTAAAAAATTAAAAAATACCTTGTCATATGTTTCCCAGAGATATAGGATTCAACCATTTCTAACTCGGGTAATAAATGTTGCTTTAACAGCTCATTTACGAACATTTGTTCATCAACACTTGGAGTGTGCCAATTCATTTTTAGTTCATTTACATGACCACATTTTCCCCAGTCTCGGATGTAAAAGTGTTCTACAGGGTCTCGGTCAAATGGAATATTTAAACTTCTAAATTCTACAGCATATGTATTGCTGCAGGAGCAAAGAACGTGTTTCAGCAACTTAAAAAAAAAAATAAACAAAATTTTTTTTTATAAGTTTAAAAAAAATAAATACTTTATCTCATACACTTTAACATGTATTAATAAATAATATTTAAATATAAATATTTAAAATATTTTAATATTTAAAATCATTATCATTTTTGTTAGGGCATATATAAACATATATTGAAAACTTCATGATTTTATTTTTCAGTTTATTTGATATTTTTAGATTATTTATAATTTTTAATGTTGCATTCAATTGCTCTTCATATATATATATATATATATATATATATATATATATATATATATATATATATATATATATATATATATATATATATATATATATATATATATATATATATATATATATATATATATATATATATATATAATATATATATATATATATATATACATATATATATATATATTTTATACTATATATTTTATTTTAAATATGCTAATTATTTACACACTTATCAATACTACTGTTATTATTACTATTTATTAAGTGTTATTAATATTACTATAATTACAATTGATATTTTTCTTATTATTTTTGTATATTTATGATTTTAAACAAAGTTTTTTAGGTGATTTACTTTTTTAGGGAGTAGTAAATAATTTCCTTTTTTTATTTTAATCTGATCTGAATGTTTCCATAAAATAATGCCTAACATAAAACAGATTTATAAACAAAGATATTTAACTAAATATATGAACAAACTAGAAATTCTTTTAAATGATTTAAGTTTGAGGAACAAATTTAAATTTTTCCAAATTTTATAGTAATAAAAAAATCAATTTATATAATTTGCATTTTAGAGCTGGCCAGGATATTATAACTTTTGTTTTAAGGCTGGTCAACAAATTATAATTTTTATTGACACATTTTTTTTAGTTTAGTTGCAAAACTTGTATATTGCAAATTTTGAATATAAATCCATTAACTATTATTTTAGTAAAGTATAACAAAATTTTATTTAAATTATAATTTCAGATTATCTAAAACTATTTTCTATAGTTTTAGATAATCTGAAAATCTAAAGTTTATTATTAACTAGACAAAATTTATTTTTGACATAATTAAAAATAATTTTTTTCAGCGCATTTTTAAAATGATAAAAACCGTGGTCAAATGGTCAAAATAAGTATTATTTGGGTGGTCATATAATGACAAGCGATCGCAAGCCTGCATATATGTATATATATATATTTATGCATATATATATGCATATATATATATATATTTATGCATATATATATATGCATATATATATGTGAATATATATATATATATATATATATATATATATATATATATATATATATATATATATATATATGTATGTATATATATATATATATATATATATATATATATATATATATATATATACATATATATATATATATATATATATATATATATATATATATATATATATATATATATATATATATATATATATATGTTTTTATTATATTACAATAGTAATGATGCCTCTTGAAATTAAAAATTATATCTTGTTACTTTTCCTGCTCTGCTGTACACCTTTTTACATTTCATGTGTAATGTTAAGCTGAGGACTTTATTCAACATTTCTCTATAAGGTAGTAACTCCATTCCATCGCAGTAAATCTCAGATAGTACTTCAAGGTACCAAAGGAGTTTAGGGTCAACATTTTCCTCGTTCTTCACACCTTCGGCTTAACACATTTGATAAAAAAATTATAAACATAAAGATAAATTAGAATTCAAAAAGATATTTTCATTTATATTTCATTATTTTATTTACTTATGAACAATTTCTTTGTAATATTTATACTTTTTTTTTTTTTATAAAAACTATATTATATACAAAAAATATTTTATACATAAAAAAGAATATTGCAATAAGAACCTGTTGATAAATCAACAATAACAGAACTAATATGGGTAAAAAATTTCTTCAAAGTTATAGTAGGATAAGCTTTTGCAGCTGCACGACACATATCTGAAACTATTTTTCCGGCAACATTTACTTCAAGCACATGATTTGTCACAAATGTAAATAAACAGTCTAATAACGCCTAAAAAAGATATTGAATTGAAGAATACAAAATAACAACTAAAAAATTATGATATAAGTTAAAAAATATATAATTGCAAAAATTGACTAAAATTATAAATTGTTAAATAGTGAATTTAAAACTTGTTGTTCAATATAAGAGTATAAATACAAAATTAAAAATAAAATTAAAGAAATGAAAGCTAGTAACATATGGTTATACCAGAAAAAATTTTTTAAACATATTTCTTACTAAACTTAAACAATAAAACTCATAACAGCAACCCTCGGAATTTGGAAAAATGAGGTCGGCAATAATTTGCCGAACTCATACTTTTTAAGGTTGGCATCAGGTCGGCAAAAATTATTAAAACATAGAAATGAGGCTGGCAATTTTTTGCCAACTTCAAACAGTTTCAGATTGGCAGTTAGGTTGGCATTGCCAAATGCCGACCTAACTGCCAAATGACCTTAACTCTGAGGTTTGCATAACAACAATGTGGTATTGGTTTAGAACCTTTGACTGAGAGATACAAAGTTTGCATATGTATATTTTACATCCCATCACATACTTTACTTATAGTAAATTAAAAACAACAGATGATTGCAAATTTGTTTCAGAAATGTAAGCAATGTTTAGGAAATATAAACAATATTTAAAAAACGCAAACAGGGCTTGACAAATTGGAGAATCTGCATAAATTTTAACATAAAATTGACATGAAAACAAACATTAAATCTTTATTTTTATTTTTAATTTTTAAAATAAACAAGGCTTATTATCACTTCTGTTTATAGGTTTTGTTATTGAGTATTTATTTTACATCATTTAAATAACATCATTTTAAGTTATTGAGATTTTTTTTTTTTTTTTTTTATTTGCATTCACTCCCAACAAGGCTGCAAGCAACCACTATTAAGTTGGGAGTTACTAGGAAAAAAAAAAGAACAGAGTTATAGCACAAGGAAACGGTTGACAGAAGACTTAAAAAGTTGAAGGTTGTATGAGTCAGGAAAACATGAAGATGGGAGAGAGTTCCAAAGGATTGAAGTGCGGGGAAAAAAACTAGATGAATAAAAGTTTTTAGAGCATGCAGGGACAGATACAGAAAACGAATGAGACTTAGCTGAATGACGAGTAAAACGAGAATGAATTTTAGTTGATGGAACTAGAGATGATAACTCCTTTGAGCAGTGACCATGATAGTATCTGTAGAAAAGAGAAAGAGATGCAACTTTACGACGATGGGAAAGAGGTTCAAGCTTAGCAGATAGTCCAGGTCCAACAACATTTACAATGCGTTTTTGGACCTTGTCAAGAAGAGAGAGTGAATCGTTAGAAGAACCAGCCCAAATATGACAACAGTATTCCATACAGGGACAAATAAGAGATTTGTAGAGGTAGAGAATGGAATCAGAAGTAAGAAAATGGCGAGCACGATAAAGAGAAGCAACCTTAGCAGAAGCTAATTTAGCAATCGATTGTATATATGGTTTCCATGAAAGGTCAGTAGTAAGCGATAATCCAAGAAGACGTAAAGAGGGCGACTCAGTAAGAGGATTGCCATTCATTAATATAGGAATGTTGACCATATTACGGTAGTTGTTTGCAGTAAGCAATTGGGTTTTTTTAGAGTTGAAATTCACAAGCCACTGTGAACCCCAATCTATTACTGAAGTGAGATCAGATTCAAGATCAGCTGCTTGTTCTAGGCGATCGAAAAGAGAAGACTTTTTGTCAAGACAGGAGTATAAAGTTGAGTCATCAGCAAAAAGAGCTACTTTAGATGAAAGGTTGTCAGGAAGATCGTTTATGTAGATAAGAAACAAAACAGGGCCCAGGATGGAACCTTGGGGAACCCCAGAAGTTACTGGAAATAAAAAAGAGTGTTGGCCTTCAAGGATGACTTTAATAAACCGGTTAGAAAGAGATGATTTGATTATCTCAAAAACTTTCCCAGAAACACCATATGAAGCAAGCTTATGGAGAAGACCAGCATGCCGAACTTTGTCGAAAGCTTTAGATATGTCGAGAGCAATAGCCCTAGCCTCACCGCCTCCATCTAATGCACGATAAAATCTTTCAGTTACAGCAGTTAGCAAGTCGGCCGTAGAGCGAGAGGATCGAAAACCGCATTGATTGTCTGACAGCAGTTTATTTGACTCAAGATGAGATGTGAGGAATTTGTTGATCAAAGACTCAAAGACCTTGCTAATAAAGAAGACTGATCGGACGATAATTGGAGAGGTCAGAATTTTCTCCAGAGTTTTTGAATATTGGAACCACAGATGCCATTTTCCAACAAGCAGGAAAACAAGACTCAGTCAAACACTTGTTAAATAGTTTAGAGAGAATTGAAGAAAGTTCTGGAGAACAATTCTGCAAGACTGTGACAGGAATGTTGTCTGGACCACAAGCTGTAGACGAGTTTAATTGAGATATGACTTTAGCAACAGAAGCCGAAGTGATTTGAATGTCTAACAATGGGTCAATCTGTTTGACTGGAATGGAAGGAAGAGAATGTCCATAAGATTCAAGAGTGGAATTAGAAGAAAAGTTCTTTGCAAACAGTTCTGCCTTATCCCTGGGAGAGGTAACAAGATCAGTCCCATGAATGAGAGATGGAATGTTAGATCTACCCTTGTTAACAATGCTGTTGAAGATTTTCCAAAAGTCTTTAGAGCCTAACTTCTGCGATAAGATGCGAGATTTAGTGAACTGAGAATAATGGAGTTTAGCATCAGAAAGCACCTTTTTACATCGATTTCTTGCAATAATAAATAGCCGTTTGTTCTCAAGAGAGTTGTTCTTTTGAAAAAGATGAAAAAAATGGTTACGATTTGATATAGCAGCCGCACAAGAAGGAGAAAACCATGGAGTAGAATGAGGCTTGACTTGAAACCGACGAGAAGGAATAAAAGCTTCCATTCCAGCCTGAATCCAGGAGGTTACGTAGGAGGCACATTTGTCAGCTGAGAGAGAAAAAACATCAGCCCAAGGACCATCACGAAGAAAATCACGAAAGGAATCCCAGTCAGCTTTAGAGTAGTAGTAGGTGGTGCGATGATAAGGTGAGCCCAAAAAAGAAGTACGAGAAGAAAGATTTATAGAGATCATTGCATGGTCAGAACCACCTAAGGGAGAAAAGGGAGAAACTGAACATAAGCTAGGGTCAGAGACAAGACATAAGTCAAGGAGTGAAGGTAAATGATTAGGGTTGTCAGGAAAATGAGTCACAAAGTTAACTATCTGAGTAAGAGATTGAGAAACGCAGAAGTTAAAGGCTTTAGTGCCAGCAGGATCAGTGGTGTTAGAGCCAAGCCATTCAGTGTGATGGGCATTAAAATCACCAACAACAACAATATTGGCAGAAGGGTAAAGAGAGAGGGCATGGTCAATTTGATCAGAGATAACATCTAAAAGAGTGCAATCATGGGAAGAAGGAGAACGATAAAGAACAAAGAGAAAGGTGATAGAGTGAAGAGGTGCTAGGCGAAAGCACATAAAAGAATGGTCAAAGGATTCGAACCTGATTTCACGACAAATAGGGGAATTAATGCGTATGTATACCCCTAAACCTAGCATGTGACTATTGGAGTCTTTACGAATCAAAGGATAGTAGCCATCAACACTGACATCTGAAGAAAGAATTGCAGAACTTAAATTTGTTTCACTGAGTGCAAGCAAGTCTGGTGAATTTTGCAGGAGGTAAGACTCAACTGATGGAAAGTTGCTTCGTAGACCGCGAATATTTGTAAAAGATATATTAAAATATTTAGGTGGTGGGGATGGTTTTTTAGGTTTTAAATTTTTGGTTACTTTGGTCATGATTTGGGTTTAATGAGAACTTGACTCATTCATAGATAGAGCACAGCCTCCTAATCAATGAGCTATGCAGTTGTCTCAGTCCTGTTAATTAACCCTAAGCCGTGACATAGGGCTCCTTATGTGGCCTTGACAATGCACACCAAAAGCATTAACAGGGACACCATCCATGCGCAACATGGCACTGTTAATACTCTGATATTTTGCAGCTGTTGATGGAATCAGCCTCTCTGAGAGCTACCACAGAGTTCGGGAAACCTTACTACCAGCCGGCCTCAGAACCATTAAACTGAGTTTTAGAGCTGTACCCTCATATGGAGATAACAGGAAGAGTTGTATAGCCATTATCATAGAGGCATAAGCAAAATTCTATGAGTAGAGTCAAGGAGATCCAGCATTCATCATCCTAGGCAGGAAACAATGTAACACAGGTTACATCTATGCCAGCCTAATAGATGAAGAAGGGGTTCGAGGCTGGTTAGCAGAATTTTTCTGCTTACCCCTAAAGTCTTTGCCTAGGAGGCCTTCTACAAGACAGTAGCAGGATGCAGTTAACATCTGCCCAAGATGAGTATTTTTATCAAGACACCATCTCTAGCCTTTACTCAACCAAGAGCCCCAAGGCAGGGGATGTTTAGCTGGATGCAGTTAACATCTGCCCAAGATGAGTGTTTTTATCGAGACACCATCTCTAGCCTTTACTCAACCAAGAGCCCCAAGGCAGGGGAATTTTTAGTCGGAGTTTATTTCTCCTAGCCTTTGCATAAGAAGAGCACTCTCTGCAAGGCAGCAGGGCTTGTGGCAGGTGGTACTGGGTTACGTGATACCAGTAGCAAGATTGATCTCGATTATCCTGACCTGACCTGGAGTAGTTAAAAGGAGCTACTTCCCGCAACAGTACTTTGAGAAAACCAGGCATGACATTTTAGAAGTGCATAAGGAAAAACAATGCATCTAACAAAATACAGGAGTCTAAGGTGAGTGTACGTTTTGTAGTTGGAGTAAGTAGTTAGTTACTGAGCTCACGCTGCATTAGAGTATAAACAGAACACAAACAAACATAAATCAACTTACGGGTGAGTCAACACCGCGCCAGAGGTTCAGACAGAACACAAACATACATAAAAAACATAAAGTAACTTACTGGTGAGCGAACACCGCGCCAGAGGTTCAGACAGAACACAAACATACATAAAAAAACATCAAAAACATAAACATAAAGTAACTTACGGGTGAGCGAACACCGCGCCAGAGGTTTAGACAGAACACAGACATACATAAAGAACATAAAGTAACTTACGGGTGAGCGAACACCGCGCCAGAGGTTCAGACAGAACACAAACAAACATATAACGTAGATTACAGGTGAGCAAATACAGTAACTAAGGCACCTCCAACTATATGGGAAAAAAAAAAAAAAAAAAAATTACTATAGGCATGACTGATATAAGATAGTACTGATGACAGAAAAAACACTCCTTCCAGCCTTTGCTTAGATAGCAAATCCTGCAAGGCAGCAGAACATGGAACAGGTTGCACTGGGTTATATGTTACCAGTAGCAGGATGATCATGAAGACCATACTCCTGACCTAAAAAGAAACCAGTTTAAACATTCTTTTAAAAGCCTTCACAAATGCACGCAACTATTTTTTTTTTTAATCAAAATTTTTCCATTCGATTCAGACGTAGTTTTCTCTGTTTTAGCAAGGATACCTTATTTAAGTGTTTGCAATAAAAGTATAAGCTTTTTTTTAATTGTAACAAGTGTTTTATATATATATATATATACATATATATATATATATATATATATATATATATATATACATATATATATATATATATATATATATATATATATATATATATATATATATATATATATATATATATATGTATGTATGTATGTAAACTTCGCTTCAATTAAATTAATTTATTTTAAAAATAAATGCAAAAGAATCATACATAAGTTATTTTTTTTTATAAGTAATTTATATACTACATTATATAATAGAACATTTTATTTGCTGATGTTTGTCAAAAAAGATTTTTCAAGCCCTGGGTGAACAATAGTTAAATAAGAAAAATCTTATAAATTTTGAATAAAAACTTTAAAATTATTTGATTAAACATTACAAATATTTAAAATAATTACTTTAAAAATAGTTGGGGACGATTGAGTGAATACAACTTGAACTGTTGATGAAAGTCCTATTCCAAGCATTCCTTCTTGAACATTCATATTCTCCATAAGTTTATTATCCTGTTCTGAAATTTGCTCAGTTGATAAATTTTCAACCAAGAAAAAACACCTATGATTACATAAATAATTTGCTTAATAACAATTAATATCTTAATTATATCATAAATATAAAAATAATTATATTATACTATTGTATTATGGGATCCATATTTAGACATTGCACAAAAACAAAACATTTTGATGACGCCAAGCAATTTGACATCACCAAAACAGTATGCTATTAACATATTTATTAAAATATTTTGATTAAAAAAAAAGTTAATTGTTTATTTAATTAATTTGCATTAAAATCTAAAATATCAAAATTATGTAATAATTATCAAGTATAACATTTATTTCATAGTACTTTTATATATTTATTACTTATTAATACTGTTCTAACCAAACTTGAATATTTTATATATTTATTATTACTATTGTAACCAAAATTAAATATTAGTACAAAACATATTAGTTAAATACTTTTTTTTAATTTTTACAAGAATACCTATCAATGAGTTGAAGTAAATAATCCTCCAACTGTCCAGACATTAAACACAATTCTCTCTCAATTTCTGTCATTTCGATACCAGCATTTAAAGCACTCATGCAATTAACTAATGGTATCTGCCCTAAAATTGATGATATAAATGAGAAAGAAGCCATGGTTTTATGAAAATCGTTTGGATCAATTCCAGGTAAAACAGCATATAACAACGTCAAAATATGAGTTGGAGCTGCTGGAAAGTGATCACCACCACTAACAAGTGTCCTAGATACTGAAGTTAAACATTGTAATGCTGCTGTTACTTGATGAGGCTCAACTATTGTTTCTAATGCTTCAACTGTCCTATAAAAATTCTTTTAAAATAGAAATCAAAATAAATTAAAATAAAATTCTATATAAAAATAGAATTTTATATAGAATTTAAAAAGCTTGTTTGAATTGCCAGCATAAAATTTTTATAATGTGGGTAATCAATTAGTTTTAGTGTAAAACAAGTTTAAAACTCAAAAATTTGGTCTAATCAATTAGTTTCAGCGTAAAACAAGCCTAAAAACTCAAAAATTTGCTTAAATAAATTGACACAGATGTTAATAACGGTTTAAGACACATAAGCATAGGTCATGGGCATTATTTTATTTTTGCAAATTCAAATTTACCTTCAATTTTTGGTTCTGTATTCAATATTCAACTTAATTCTGTTATCATTTTATTAATTTACTGTTTCATTAAGTTTTCTTCAGGTAATAATATTTTTATAAAATTTATTATTTGTATTGCCATTATTAAAATATATATATATATATATATATTTATTTGATATATCTTTTACTACTTCGATCTCGAATTAGAAAAAAAAAATTTCTGTAACTTTTGCTTCATTGTTAAACTTTTCACACTTAGAAAACTACTAATATGTTCCTTAGGATCCAAAATCATAATAAACTTACCAATTTTATTTTGATGTTATTTATTCGGATTTTACCAAAGCTTTTTAGAGTAAAATACAATATATTGAATAAAGAAAAAAAGAAGGCTCTACTAAGAAAGACTTATTTTGATATGTTGTAGATGCAGACAGAATTTCTTGAGTTAGGGATTGTCCATAAATTATGCAACACTAAATTTCACTAATAAACAAAACAAAAAAAATGTTTTTCATCGCAGAGCCTCAAGTTAAATAAAAATTCAAAACATTCAATTTAATGAAAGCATAAAAGAGCTCCTACTTTTTTTTTATAATAAATTTTGTTAACTACTACTTCTGTTTTTAAATAAATTTATGTCAAAAAAATTATTATCCCTTGATGGAATCTAGAAAGATTCTCAAGTGCAGAAAACCAATTAAATCAAAAAATTTGGATATTAAGATAAACAATAATATTATTCAAATTATAAACCAGTTTTTCTATGTAATAACAAAACAAAGCATAAACCATAGTTAACAACAAAAATTAAAAAATCTAAACTGGTATGTAAATACTATTAAGTTATAACAAAAGAAAAAAAAAAAAGTTTATAACTATGACAACTAATAATTAATAATCAACAATATAACTAATAATCAACTATGAGAAAATAAAGACCTAATAATTTAATAAATTAAGGCTAAAACCAACCCAAAACTTATTTACAAATATTTATGTTAAAATAAAAAAGTTAAAAAATCTCTTTATGTAACCCAAACAGATTAACTGATTTACAATCAAAATCACACAAATCAAAATAACAACAAATTAAAATAATTTTACTCTGTTTTTACATTTGTCAATTTCCAAGAGAAACATTTTTTGCTTATATATATTACCTTTTTTTGTTTTTTTTTCCTTACGCTAAAAATAATTTCCAAAGTAACTTATACATTCTCATAAATTCAATAACCACTTACCAAATTAAATATACAAAAATTTTCTTTCAATATTGGTAACAGTGTTCACTCAATTGTACTTAACAAATTGAACCTAATGCTATTTCAATAGCATTATATTTTATAAATATAATGTTAATAAGATATTTATAAAATATAATGCTATTGAATAGCAATGCAGCAAAAAAAAATTTTGAAATCAAATTCTTACATTTTTTGAAATCAAACTATTACAAAATTGTTTTTCCACACAGTAGCCTTGTTCATCAAGGCTAGTGTTTTGAAGGAAAAGTGTTTCTGCCTTAGTACTTAAGTTATACTTAAACAATAAAATGGTAAACTATGAACTTATTGAATAAGTCTTCTTGGATATTGCTTACTACTGACCTTTCATGGAAACCATATATACAATCGATTGCTAAACTAGCTTCTGCTAAGGTTGCTTCATTTATCGTGCTCGCCATTTCCTTACTTCTGATTCCATTCTCTACCTCTACAAATCTCTTATTCGTCCCTGTATGGAATACTGTTGTCATATTTGGGCTGGTTCTTCTAACGATTCACTTTCTCTTCTTGACAAGGTCCAAAAACGCATTGTAAATGTTGTTGGACCTGGAATATCTGCTAAGCTTGAGCCTCTTTCCCATCGTGGTTGCATCTCTTGTTCGTGGATGCATCGAGTTGCATCTCTTTCTCTTTTCTAAAAATACTATCATGGTCACTGCTCAAAGGAGTTATCATCTCTAGTTCCATCAACTAAAATTCATTCTCATTTTACTCGTCATTCAGCTAAGTCTCATTTGTTTACTGTATCTGTCCCTGCATGCTCTAAAAACTTTTATTCATCTAGTTTTTTTCCCCGTACTTCAATCTTTTGGAACTCCCATCTTCATGTTTTCCTGACTCATACAACCTTCAACTTTTCAAGTCTTCTGTCAACCGTTTCCTTGCTCTATAACTCTGTTCTTTTTTTTATAAAGAATATAATCTCATTCAAATATATTCAACTTTGCTTATTTGTATTCTCTGTAATTTTAAATAGATCTTCAAAAAAAATTTTATTAAAATTTCTGCGGTATAATATAAGATTGTGAAAAAATTCCTGCATAATTGTTTTGATGTTACAACCAGCAGTTAAAACAGCAAAAATTTCACAAATATGAGATTTTTTGTGTTTTAAGCAAAATATATGGATATAAATAATTAATGCATAAGAGCAAGTGAAAACTATGTATAAAATATAAACTAAAACTAAAGTTTATATAAAACAATAAAAATAATTGCATAAAAATTTTCTTTTAATAAATCAACTGGACTTACCGATCAATAACACTAGGCAAAACAATATCAGCACGAAGTAAAGCTAAGTTTTGCAAAGTTACAGCAGCACTTCCACTCCCAGACTTACTGTACATAGATAGTAAACATATATCCTTAAGCATTAACACAAACCGCTCAATATCCTTATCAGTTATTTTGAATTCATCACGAATTTGATTTTGCCAGTTAGGCTTAGCATACCGTTCAATGTGCAGTCTTTGAACAAAATGTTGAGCTAGAGTATGGACTAATACAAGAAGTACATGCTAAAACAAAAATTTACATTAAAAAATTGTTAGAAAGAATTTAAAAACAAATTAAACAATATGTTGTATACATTTTAGTTTTATAGTTAATCATAGAAAAATTAATGTAGACAAACAGGCACTTATCCCATCATCATTTAACTATAATAATAAACATCTTATAAACATCATTTTAGTGCTTTGAATTTTTTTTGCATAAAATGTGTTCAGATCTTTGCAATGCAATAGTACATAAGTTAAAATTCCAATGCAAGCGATGGGTTCACAAGAGATCCAAACAGAATGTTATGATATCAGACAACGATGATGATAACTATAATCATAACAAACATACAAACATACATACATACATACATACATGCATACATACATACATACATACATACATACATACATACATACATACATACATACATACATACATACATACATACATACATACATACATACATACATACATACATACATACATACATACATATTGTTCAAATATCAATGAAAAATCTAAATATGTAAATAATCTAATTTCAGTAAAAAAGTTGAATAACACTTTTTCTAATGTTTATATCTTGTCTTACCCTAAAATTAAAAATAAAATTACCCTAACAAGCACATTGTTTTCTTATTGTTTCTAAACTGCATTTGATCTTCAAGACAATTTTAAATCTTTAATGGCCAAATTAACTAATGGGAAAAACATTTTTCATAAAAAAACTAGTTAATCTTATAGATTTAGAAAACATAATAAATTTAGAATATTTTACTTTTGATTTTCTATTTTGTTTAGCTGCAAAAGGAATTTTTTTTAGCAGTCAAACTTCAATCCCAATTGAAAAACTATTCCATGTTGTATCAAAATACTGCATACAATGCAATATAGTGCACATTATATATGCAATGTAGAACATATTCTACATAAACATACAACACAACACAAAAAACATTACATATTAACAACAAAAAAAAAAAGTTAAATACTTACAGAGAAGCCTCCATGATTTGATGGATGGTAAAAAGATTCTAAAGTTACAAATAAGTTTTCTAAAAATTCCAACACTTTACATTGACCACCTATCATATAGACAAACCATTTTGTATATACTGCAATAAGCAAAACATCCTGACGAGAAGATTTATGATGCGCAGCCCCAGTAACGGGAAGATTTAAACCACTTAAAAACTGATTGAATATCTGTGAAAAAATTCGAAAGATTTATTTAAAATATGTTATAATTTTATATGCATATATGTATGTATATATATATACATATACATATATATATATATATATATATATATATATATATATATATATATATATATATATACATATATATACATATATACATATATATATACATATATACATATATATATATACATATATATATATATATATATATATATATATATATATATATATATATATATATATATATATATATATATATATATATATATATATATATATATATACAATTTAATAAAAATATAAAGTGGCATTTTACTTACAAGTAATCACAAAAATGTTAGCTATATTACATTTTCCATCTTGGCTAAATACTTTATAATTATTAGTTTTTAATGTATTCAAATATCTTTAAAAATTTGTAGCAAAATAATTTGCAATCAGACATGTTTTATTATTTGCTTCTTGATGCAATAAACTATCGATAAACTTACAAATCATCAAAATGTAATAGTAATATAACAAATTGAACTGCTGTTTGTGAATAAAAAATAAACAAGAAAAAACTGTTTTGTATGCCAAATGAAAATTTCTAGTGAATGTATACATATATATATATATATATATATATATATATATATATATATATATATATATATATATATATATATATATATATATATATATATATATATATATATATATATATATATATATATATATATATGTATACTGATTCCATCAACATCCTTCAACATCATTTAATGGGGCCAAACTGCCTGATTGTAGGCAAATTATGAAATATGTCTTATTTCAAAGGAACGATTAAAAAAAATATAAAAAATTAAGCGAGGAATGAGGATATTGCTTATGTTGCGGTTGATGCAGTCCTTGTTTTTTGGAATATGTCATGCATAAAAACTAAATACAGAAAGAATTGCATGTTTGATGTTATGAAACTTTGAAATGAATGGCAGATTTCAATAAAAAATAAAGGAAGAACAACAGACCTTGGTAGCAAGAAAGCAAGTTTTATTGAACGATTGGGTTCTCTTTTTAACATTGGTGTACCTGACGCCATAAATGAAATAAAGAAATCAAGATTTTTTTCAGAAAGAAAAAAACAAGATGATATCGACTTTTATTTGGACCAACAACAGAAAAGAAGAGCATGTATGGATGGATAAAATTTTTGAAACCAAAATGAAACTTGCTAGACAAGCATGTAAAGCAAGAATTACAGAAAGAGAACAGTGCAGGTTGGATATTTTAAGAGAAGAACAGATTGAAGGAGTTGCTGCTTTGCTAGAATATGACTCTGAGACACAATTAAATGAAACAGATGACTGAACTGAAATTGATCCTGATTTTGAAACGACCTCCAGTTTATTCATGACATGATAGATTTTAGAAGTGTTGACAAAGATATTGCTGACGTCGTAATTAACAAACTCTGTGATCATCAATGGTACTTGTCAGAAGAAGTTATGCCATTTGCTTTATTTAGTAAACATTCATTGATGATACATGCACTAAAGAAAGAAATGGTGGATCAATTGTTTTTGACTTCAATACCAAAAAACTTCTGCCTTGGTAAACCAGTATTCAAAAAAATTAGTTGTGAAACAACTTTGACAAGTTTTATTGGGCCTGAATCTCATTCGTTGATCAATATTTTAAAAGTGAGCATTGGTTGGTTTTCGAAACCGGTAGAGCAGTGGAATTCAGACCAGGCTTTTAGAGTTGCAGAAAGATTTGTTTGTAAAGTTAAAGTTTTCAACGATGCAACGGAGCGTGGTGTCAAGTTAATCTCGGATTTTGCTACAATCATTACAACTGATATTGAGCGAAAGGGCATGGTTGTTGCAGGGTGTCGAGCAGCATAGAGTTCTAATTTAGTTTTGATAAAAAGACAATTAGTAAAACTGTAGTGTGTTGAGTATAAGAGATTAAACATTTTTTAAGTAAATTACTAATTTTTTAAGTAAAGACTGTAAAGTCACTTTTTTTATATTTGATCACAAAATTCACGAAAATATATATATTTTTTTTCAAGTTTTTAATGTTACATACATATATTTTTTTTTTTTTTTTTTTTTTTTGTAAATCTGATTACCTTTATATTAAACATAATTTTGTTAAAATTATTTTGTTATATTTACAGGTATACATACCGCAAAAACAACTGTACCGCAAAAACTACAATGTTGGCTTAAGTGACCTAGCATTTAGAAAAAGATTCAGGATTTAAAAAACTTAATATATTATGAAAGCTAGTATGTCAGCCTATAAACTAAAGCAGTTTTAGTGGGTTTTTTATTTGCTAAATACTTAGGTATTTGCACTAGAGTAAAAGTTTCAATTATAAAAATTTGTAGTTTTTTTTTGTTTTGTAGGAGCCTAGAAGCTGTATCAGAGAATAAGTTAGCAAAATATAGTTTTTCTATTACCTATGGATTATAATTAGATACTGAAAAAAGTTTCTTTTTCTCAAATTGTTATAAATCTTTATAACACCCTCATAAAGAAAGAAGGAAGTATTATTGTTGTTTTTGGGGTACATTTTATAGAATTTACTTTATAGATCATGTTTTGAAATAAAAAACAATAACAATGAATTACTATTGTATTTGATTTTTTTTTTTTAAAGAAAATAATATATATTTATCTTAAAAATAATATGTGAACACATAAGTAATAACACAGACATCTAAAATAGCTACAGACTTTATAACATTATAACAATAGGTTTCTACAACAATGTTAAGATAACAAAGATAAATAAAATAGTACTTTAATTGATTACTTTAATTCTAAAAAAGATTATTGATTGTTGTTGCATTCGTTATAATGGTTGTATATCAGTCTTTTAGATGTGGAGAAGTGCTGGTTTGCTGGTAAAAGCATAACCGGTTTAACACCATCAACTCTGCAACTCATTTTGCTGCAAATTGAATGGAGAACATCAAGACAATTACGAAGTTGCTTTAGGCCAAAGGTTTGACATTTCCTTTGTTTGCAAAAACGATCAACTTTACATTTAATAAATTTTTTGTTAGCTTCTTTTTTTTTTGGCTTCCTCCTTCGGTGTTATCTTTCGTTGTTTCTCTTCCTTTATATCTTTCATTTTTGCTGCAACATCTTTTGCACACATTGAACTATAGACCTGAGTAAAACAAATAGATATTTTTTCAAGGTTTGGCATGATTTTCTTAATAGTTAGCAGATCAGGAATATTTTCTAATTGGAGGCTTAGCTCAGCCATTTCTCTAATTAAATCTTGAGACTGGTCAAACATATCCTTCCAGTAACTTACCGAACCTTTCCTTTTATCAACTGGTGACGAAATGGTTGATTCAGGTTTTTTGAAAGAAGTTGACGCTGGTTCTTCTTCATGAATGCATGCACCAGCTCACTCAAATTTATCTTGTTACATAAAGTTAACATTTAATTCATATGGTGTTATTTTAACTCTTTTTGCACTAGAAACAAGAACCAGTTTCGATGACCATTTCTTCCATATATTGCCTAAGATGGTCATAAATCCCTCTTAATTAATTGCATTGGGTCAAAAAGATAATTCTTGGCAATTTTGTACTCATGATGAAGGTTTTTATTAACCTGGTCAAGCAACTGAGTTATACCAGTGTTGGGAATATCCAAATTTGTTTTGAAAGGAGGTATATTAAACTACCATAACTGAATCATGAACTATGTCCATCAGATAATAAAACAACAGGTTGTTCGATTGCCTTCTCAGTAAGGTAGTCATCAAATTTTTGGCACTGCCTTTTCTAATTGTAAATTCTTCACATCTGTGAATTTTTTCCCAATTGATGCCTCAGGCTTACTTTTTCCATGAATAGATTGTAATCTATCGTGCCTGAGCTGAAATTTTGGCTTCATTTTCTATATTATTTTTTCTAATTCTATTTGATTAAAAAAATTATTGTTAAACATTTTAGAGTACATTAGTCGCTTACAAAACATATCTAAATACTAAAAAACAATTTTCAAATAAAAAAATTTAGATTTTGTTCTAAGTTCAAATACAAAGTAACTTTTAATAAATTTATGCAATTATTATGTTCTAAAAATGTTATTAATTTTTAATACGTAAAAAATACAATGCAAACTTTGTTTAAAACACTGCAATGACATCTTTAGAATCAAGAGGTTACATAGAACCAATATAGTAAAAAGCAAGAACGCATGTATACCCTATAAAATTTTAAAAATATCTATGTTGTTTTTGGGGTACCTATCTTGTGGTACTGATTTTAAGCAACTCTAAACACATTCAAAACAGTTTTTTTCAAAGGTAAATAATAAAAAAGTTGTGCTTTGAGATGTGCTTTTTTTGGTATTTTTGCGGTACGTATACCTGTATAGAATTATAACATTTTATAATGTAAAAGATTTTAATTTTTGCTTGAAAAATAGGGTTCAAATTCGGAGGCCTTGAGGGACCTCAGGATCACTTGTCAAAAATCTGTAAAAATTGTTTTTAGATATGTTATTGATAGTATAATGGGAAAAACTTCACTTCATGACATTTTGACACTTCATAATAATCCTGGACAACCCTAATATCTATATATATATATATATATATATATATATATATATATATATATATATATATATATATATATATATATATATATATATATATATATATATATATACTATATATATATATATATATATACATATATATATATATATATATACATATATATATATATATATATATATATATATATATATATATATATATATATATATATATATATATATATATATACTAAGTCATATTTTAACCAGTAGTCTAATGTCATACTGGAATATATATATATATATATATATATATATATATATATATATATACATATGGAATATATATATATATATATATATATATATATATATATATATATATATATATATACAGGCTTCGGCAGGAATAAAAACCGTACGGGCTTTGAAAAGCCCGTCTTAAA